AACATCTGATGAGCCTTCCTTAGCTGATGAAGCAACAGCTCATGGTCAGTCTTGCAGAAATGTCCAACATGATGAAAAGAACCAAATAACCCTGATCTAAAGGCAAGAAGTGATTAATTGTGAGCTTTTCTTATATGGTCATAAAAACAAAGGAAGTATAAGACCTACATGGGAACAAACCTAGATTATGAGGTCCAAAAGCACTAGTATTGAAAAGTCACTGCCTTCCTAACAACTCTTACTCTATATATTATAGGAAACATACCAGTCATGATATCATAGGCTTCTGTCATCTCCCCTCTTAGTTATCTCAGTTTGGAAAAGACATGACTAAGCGGGATATGATAGAGGTATAAAAATCATAACTGATGTGGAGAAAATGAATAAAGAGTTTTTATTCCTTCCTATAACACAATAACTAGGGGTCACCAAATGAAATTAATAGGTAGCAGGTTTAAAATAAACACAAGGAAGCATTTCTTCACACAGCATACAGTCAATCTGTGGAATTCCTTGCCAGAGGATATTGTGAAGGCCAAGAGTACAACAAGGTTCATAAAAGAGGTAGATGAATTCATGGAGGATAAGTCCACTAATGGCTATTAGCCAAGATGGCTTGGGATGGTCTCCCTAGCCTCTTTTTGTCAGAAGCTGGGAATGGGCAACAGAGGATGGATCACTTGACGATTACCTGTTCTGTTCATTGCCTCTGGGGCAGCTGGTATTGACCACTGAGAGAAGACAGAATAGCAGGCTAGATGGATCTTTGATCTCACCCAATATGGCTATTCTGATGTTTTTACAGTCCTGAACTGACAGCAGATTAGAAATGTTTTTAACAGATCCCTGCTTCTGATTTCTATATTTGATTCAGAACCTCCTCCCCCCAAAACAACAACAACAACAAAACAGCCACACTCTCTTTTGTATGTCAAGTTTTTCAGGTATAGCTAGCTGGAAAATAGCTAGAAATAGCTAGTAACCCAGAATCACAATATAACAAAATCTGAGCTATATCAAAGCAGAAACTTAAAAGGCACTAAACTGTATTGATGTACTTCTTAAAGTCTTGCTGCACATACATTTTTGTCTAAATATCTACACAAGAAACTGGGAGATAGTAATACTCTGGCTAATGAAAAAAAAATATACTGAATTTATACTGCAAGGATAGCAGAATATAACCCTCTGGAAAATGGTGCTGATTAGCTAAATGATCAAATGAACCTCACTTTTGCCATTACTGTGTTACTCATACACACTTTTATGAAAAACTTTTAGGGTTTTTCTATAGTTTACCTAAGCAAATAACATCTTTTGCAGCATGATATAGAAACACAAATTGCAATGTTCATGGCATGAAATACGATAGAAGCATTATTCTCAAAGTGAACTGGTAAAATAAATAGTAATGACTAAACATACTTGAGAAAAAATATTACTGGCAAGAAATTTCAGTATTATCTAAGCTATACTTACCAGTATGGCCTTGGATACATAATGGTGAGTAACATAATTACTGGATGTCCCTTTCTTGACAATCATCAAAAAGGAAGTTAAATTTTTCAATATATTGGGGGGGTATGATTTTCCTTTACTAGAGAAGAAGCAATTGAGAAACCCAATCTAATAAATTCCTATTAAATCCAGTCTGTAAATCTGATATTTTGTTCAATCAATATCAACTCACTTGAAGACATATACTTTTAAAATTAATGAGAGAAAACCCCATAGCTATACCTACTAATATATATGCAGACCACCATAGATTTTTACTACAGAAAATATCTACTTTTCCTCAAAAGAAAAAGGTTTTCCTTTGCAGTGAGTGTTGTTCTCTGTATCCCACTGACATGAATAAATTTAAATTCTGTATGATTAGATTTACCCACTCCCTCATATCTGTGACCTTTAGTGTTCAAACATAGTTTTGGTCCTCATCCCAGAGAGACAAATTCTGCATCCTTTTAAAGCCAAACTGATTTAAGGAATAATGTCACATGCTTTGGAGATTAATTGGAATATAGACTCTTGCAACCATGCAAAAGTTCATGTTGCTTTGTTTGTTCTTTTTTGTTTTGATTTGATTTTAGCAATTACTAGTAAAACACACTAGAGATGCAAGAATGATGACATAACCAGAAGGTGGGAAAAGACATATCCCAAATAAATATCCTAACAAAAGGGAAAACAGTGAAATATTGATATCTCCAGACTCAACAGAAGCAGTAATATGCAATGTCTAAAATCCAAATCCAGTGCTTTTATCTGGCTAGAATAATTACTGCATAATCCACTGACCTCAAAAGACAAAGAAGGGACACAAAGTAGGACACATTTTCCATCAAGCCATCATCACTAGTCCCATGGTACATCATTGCAGTACTTTCTCCACCTCCTGCCTGAATACTGGTAAGTGATTTATTTCATGGACATAAATAAAAAAATGATGAAGAGTCTGCAGATTCTATTAAGATGATAGCCTGGACACACTGATAAGCAGTGATTCCTTCTGACATGACCCAAATATGAGAGAAGGGCTGTTTGAAAGAAACTCATTTTAATGAGAGAAAGAAAAAAAAGAGATGCATAACCTAAGTTTTATGGGGGGATGTCAACAATATTGAAATGCATCATAAGAAAGATCTGTTTGTTGGCACAGAGCAATGAAAAGCTTGCAAGGTATTGCAAGATTAATTGTGTTGCTTGGTAAATTTTTTACTATTATTATTACTTTTACAAATGATCCAAGGTAAGCAGAGACAGCTACCTTGCTTTCTGTAAAGGAATAATACCTGGGGCTCAAAGAAATAAAGTTGCATGCTTCCCGAGAGTAATTAAGAAGTTGCCCATAATAAAGACAAATTATTCGATTGACCCGCGATTCCAGCTAGTGCCTTGGAATGTATGGCTGTGATGGATTTCACCTATAGGTATGAGAGCCGTGTACTTTACTGAAAAGAATATGTGGAGGACTCATGGTGCTGAAAGGCAACAAAATTTATGTATGGCTTCTGAAGTGCTTGAGCTCTCTACGATGAGAAAAGGACAAGGGTAGAAAGGAACCTATGTATTAAGCTATCCCCTAGGGGAGGAAAGAAAAGGGAGATAAGGAAGAATATATATTATCTTCTGAAAGAGTATCAATATCTTTTGCTTGCTTTCCTCCTTCTTTAGGATCCATCAACCAAAGCTCATAAAATACCCATGGTTACAAATAAATCAGTCTTTCCAAAATTCGGTGGAAATAAAATATTCAAGAACAATCACATATAATGTCTCAGCAAATCAATGTTAACTCTTCATCACATGTTTTTATTTCTGCTTTTTTACATCTTACTTTTGACTTTAATTTTTTATGAGTAGATACATTGTGTTATTGTGGACAGAAGTCTCTAGAATTCTGAGTATAGCTGTTTTTTTCATTTGGCCTATGTGAATGTGAGTGACTATAATGTAGTTCAGTGAAGAGATACATTGTGGAGGCAGGCGATGGAAGTCCTTACTATTAACCATAAAATCTTGACATGCTAATGCTACATATTGGGCCAGTTATTCATCTAGTGTAAATCAGCATCACAACTTTGACTTCAATGTAGCACTGTCGATTTATCTCAGTAGAAGATACAGCTCTCTTATGTTTGAGGACCAATTTAGTTCACCTCACCAATATGTTTAACATTGATACATCATATAATCAACATTACCTCTATTTTTTTCCATTCACACTTGGAATAAATTTTGTTATGTGCACCAAAGCATATGCAGATGTGTACTACCACATGCTGCTGATTGCTTCTAGCTGTAAGTACTCTACTAATCTGTTGGGCATCATTTGAATCTCTCCTGGGTAGCCATCCAAGTGCACAGTTTACAAGGACACTGCATATAATATCTAATATTTTAAAATTTCAGATATAGGGGGAAATTGTATGCTAAGATATCCTGGCATAAAATGAAAGAAACACCAGAGAAGCCAATAGAATTACTCTGGAGTTTATGCTGATGTAACCCGTGTTAATCAGCTGACCCATGTTACTGGACTCTGGGCTTCAGCATTCACATTGTATTTTAACCCTACATAAAGGCTTTTCTAACCTGTGGTCAAACCTAAGCTTCTGGCATCTCCACTGCAGTGTGCACGCCTAAGTCAAAATAATCATACCCCAGAATCCCACCCCTTGAAATGTGGCTGCTCTAATCCTGGGACTGGGGAGCACTATGGGAAAACTTTCCTGCTCCATCTGCATGTTACCAGGAAGCAGCTCATTCTGCAAAAGGTTTCATCAGTTCACTCTCTCCACTGCATACCCAGGAGGATGTCTGATACTGTGCTTGCAGCTCAGTGATAAGACGCAAATGGGTTAACACTGACCTGAGCTGCTGCTATTTGCAAAGAGAGAGGGGCTTCCATTTTCAATAGAGTGGATTCTAGATTGTTGGGAGAGGGAGGACTAAAGAAGTTGTCCCATAGAATTGTGGGATTAGTCTGGCTGACTACTGGGACTCAAATCAAGTGATGCTTCCTATACACTACAAAGCAGTAGCCTGGGATTCTAAGTCCTGTTTAATTTGTCCTCAAACTCTCCACTCCTGCAGGGTCCTCAGACCCTGGTTCAGCATAATTGCAGTGTTGCTATGAGGCAGGGTAGGTTTAAACCCTGACTTATGTGCAATGTAGACATACATAAGCACAATTTGGCCCACCAATCTTGTTGTTGGTAACTAATTCCTCTATGAGCAATTTCACTTCCTCTAATTCATAGCCATGACTGCTGAACATTTTGTGCTGTGCAAAAACTAACAAGGATGGTTTCAGGTGCTAATTGTACACAAATCATATATTAGTCATACATCTACAGGGCTATTAATGATTATTGTGGCAATTAATTATATTTGTGATCTTTAATATACACAGAAAAAGCAGGAAGAAAATGTTATGTCCTCCTCCTTAGTTCAGAGAAATTCCTTTTATGTGTCAATATTACCAGGTTTCCTACCTTGTCACCAACACCTCCAACAGAGCCAATAGAGCCTGGGGGACCTTGAGGACCCTACAACGATAAAAGCATGTAAGTAAGTAGCTAGCATGCACTGCTTATTATTGTTTTTTTTAAAGGAATCCAATGAACAATACAGAATGTGTTTCTTACATCAGCTCCATTAGGACCCTGGGGACCTCTTGGACCTGGAGGACCAGGCGGACCCTGAATTAGAGAAAAAATATGGTATGTGAACTGCAGTCTGTATGGTTATAAATATGAGCACAGATTTTTTTTGTCAATTAAACAACGATATATTCTGCACGCAGAGAGTTTTTCATTTTTGGAGTGTTGCACAAACACTAAGCATGCACGCAGAGAGTTTTTCATTTTTGGAGTGAAAAAGCGCCAGGTTGTGGTTCCCCCTTGCATGAGTCCACATAGGGATGACAGCATAAGGAGCCCCTTGTGTTTCTCCATTCCGATAGACACATTTATTTATTGTTATCGCACAATGCCCCAAAGCTCCTGCTCCGGGATGTAACACCAATCTCTAATGCTGGCATTGTTCTCTCTCTGACAGGCATAAGCTGTGCTGCCCTAATCAATCCTCATAGGTCTCCTGTAAATCATGCAAATAAGAATTAAAGCCCTCCTGTTTAAAGATTGGAAATGGGCATGGAAGTGAACTGACTTGCCCAAGTTTACAGGGAAAGCAGGCAATAGTCAAATTGCAAGCTATAAAGCAATTTAATAATCAGAACGTTGTCTAACACTTACAATGATCAACAAGAAAAAAAACCTTACCATTGGACCAACATCACCATTCTCACCCTTTTCACCTGGAGGGCCAGGTAGACCCTGAAAATGTGAAAGAGAAAAGAAAATACTGTTAGTGAACTACTTGGAATAACTGATGTAAATACAACAGTAGGCTTCGGTATGCCCACTGCGTAACTCCAGGCTGACCTCCACACATACTCTATTGAGGGCCCAAAGGCTCATGGTATGAAACTAGAACACTTGCACTAAAAAAGAGTTCCCTTTAACAGGGGAGTTACCTGTGGGCTAGACATGGCCAATTTCTGACCCTGCCAGAGATACATAACGAGCATGGATCAGATTATAAAATCTGGATGAAAGCATACAAAACTGACCATATTCCCTAAATTATATATCTAAAGCACCAACAAATCTTTCTTATCTGTGGATAATTTGAATGTAAGATTATCCAAGAAACAGAATCATAGGATTCTAGAACTAGAAGGGACCTTGAGAAGTCATCAAGTCCACTCCCCTGCCCTCAAGGCAGGACAAAGCAGAGTCTGGATCATCCCTGACTGATGTCTATCCAACTTGCTCTTAAATATCTCCATTAATGGAGGCTGCACAACCTCCCTAGGCATTTTATTCCAGTGTTTAACCACCTTGACAGTTAAGAAGTTTTTCCTAATGCCCAACCTAAACCTCCCTTGCAGCAATTAAAGCCCGCTGTTTTTTGCCCTATCATCAGAGACAAAGAAGAACAATTTTTCTCTCTCCTCCTTGAAACACCCTTTCAGATACTTGAAAACTGCTATCATGTCTTCCCCTCAGCCTTCTAAACTAAGCAAGCCCAATTCTTTCAGTCTTGCTATATGTCAGGTTTTCTAGACCTTTAATTATTCTTGTTGCTCTTCTCTATACCTTCTGCAATGTCTCCACATCTTTCTTGAAATGTTGTGCCCAGAACTGGACACAGTACTCCAATGGAGGCCTAATCAACGCAGAGTAGAGTGGAAGAATAACTTCTCGTGTCTTGCTCACAATACTCCTGTTAATGCATCCCAGAATCCTGGTACTAATACCTACTTTTATTATAGTAGTGGATACCATGTTGACCATAATGCTCTACAGTACAGAAATCAGAAAAATCCTGACTGAATTCAGATGTAAAGTTCAACTCCTTAGAAAAAAGATTCCTGTTTCTCAGTAAAATGTGCTGAACTTTAAGAAAATACATGCTTCTTTTCAGTATAGCCTGTGGTACAAAATATCCGTTGCAGTTACATATTCATTATCGAATGAGTATGAAGGAGACAACTTTAACTCATGCTGGGAGGCAATTGGTTTTTATATTCCAATCCCTGCTTATTTTGAAAGTTAAGACTGTGATACATTAAAATGGAAAGCTATAGCCGACAGTAATAGGTATACTAAAATGTATTCATTGATTACAATGCATGCCGAACTGTAGCATCAATGGAGTTTTGTCTTCTTACTACTTAAGATGCAAGTTATAATGACACGTGTTTTAATTATTTAAGAACTTATCAAATGTGTGTTGATACTTGGATATACAGTAATAAATTCTCATATAATATTTTGATGCAGTATATCTCTAGTCTAAAAATACTTGTATATGGAACACTTGATTGTACTGAACAAAACATCTCTCCTTATTACTGAATGCGCAATTCCCTGAAGTGTATGTTACAGAGAGGTTATAGTGTAATTAATCTAAATTAATGTTCCACCATGCATTTCAAAAATACACTATAGTAAAATAATGAGTTGTTATCACTTCAAAACCTCACTATATTCTGGCCAAACTATGAAATAATACCTTTCGAAATACAATGTTAAATAATTGCATGTAATTCTGCAGCTACAGAATAGGTGACTAGAGTGACCGTGAATAATAGCACATATACTCAGTAATACTACAGTAAATTCATAAGGCATTAGAAAATAATGGGTTCTTTTTCAATATCGAAAATGCAGTCAAAGGAAGATATGGCATTTGCAACCCCATTGTTTTAAAGTAAGTATGAAGACATTTCAACATTTTTTCTTTTACTTGCAGCCTTGTTCTCTACAAACAAGTATCATCTCCTGTCATTTCAGATGGATAGTCTCTAAAGGGAAATTCAATGTCATATTGTGTATTCAATAACCAGTATTCTCAGCTGCTAAATATTCTCCATTTTACGAAATAGGAAAGATTTGACTTTAAACTATGATGCTATTATGTCAGGTATAGCTGACAGCAATTTCCCCCAGATGTCTTCCAACAGAGTTGTTTGCCCATTTATTTATTTTTGGAAGAGGTATCATTTACCTTTATACATGCATGATTTTCAAGAAACTAAAAGCAGCAAGCAAGTTATGATTATCAGCGGAGTGTTTTGAAATCTCTAACTTCCTTCATGGCTTTTGTCTTGAATACATTTATAATATTTAAACAACATAATATTTGGACTGATAATAACTTTAGTGGTGCAGTTTTCCATTAATACAAAGATGGGCAATAAAAAGATGGTGGCCTGACAGAGGAGGTCCCTGGCGGACTGCTGCCACTATATTTACTTGAGCCTCCATGGGTATCAATGATTGAAGCTCTGGTTGGTCGCAGAACACCATTTCTGACCAATGAGAGTGGCTGGAAGCAGTGCCTTAGTCCACACTGCTTCCTGCGTCTCCCATTGGCCTGGAAAGGTGACCAAAACCAATGAGAGCTGCAATCAGTGATGCCTGTGGGGGTGCAGGTAAATATAGCGGTGGGGACGCACCAGGGACTAACACTCGTTGACTGGATCCAGCCTGGTATTTGCCCAACCCATGATTTAATATCAAGATTTTTTCCCACACTATGAGGAGTGTTAAATAAATATTTTGTACATGATTCTGCTTTTGCTACTAAGGTCTCCCTAAATTATCTTTTCTCAGTTGGTAATGCTGAAATTAGTACTGCCTGTAAAAACGTATTAAACCATCCTTAGAAATCTCTCACTGCATTTATAAGTGCATAGTTTATTATAATTTGGGTGTAAAATCATGCTGTTTTAAAACTTGACATGCAAAGTGTTACGCACCTATGCTAAAACTTATTTAACATGGGCAAAAAATGAAGTTAATAGTGAATAACAAATAACTTCAGGATAACTATGGTCTGCCTATGGATATCCCTCAAGAACTAGAGGCTAAGTATGTTAAATGAATTATTAGTTGCAAACTATTCATTCAATTCTATTAGTGAGTGTAAAAAACCTGAGGACATCAGTGCTACCATGCTAAGTGACTCCTCAGTTATTATTCATTGGCATGACAGAGACTAACAGCTCATTCAGTTGTTCAGATTTATTAAATTATAATTTTTCTTTTAAAATACAAACTTGGGTTCCAATCCTCTAATTAATTAAAGTTAAGCCCACTGCTAAATGTTTGCAAGAGACATTTTCAAGGCACTTAAATCCAATGGGATTTAAACATTTAAGTGCCACTTTTGCTTCCCCCCACTCCAAATTATAGCCGTAGGGCATAAGAACATAAATATGGTTATACTGGGTCAGAACACTGGTCCATCTAGCCGAGGATCCTGTCTTCTGATAATTGCCAGTGCCAGATGTTACCCTTATTAAATTAGCCTCATTAGCAATGTTTTAACACTCCCTTAGCTGTATGTTGGTATATGTCCCTGCCCTCTGATACTTTCACGTTGTGCATCTGACTAAGTGAGCTGCAACTCACAAAAGCTTACTACCTAATACATTTGTTAGTCTTTCAGGTACCACTGAACGCCTTGTGGCAATTATTCAAGGATTCACCCTGTCTCGCCCAGCTTCTGGCAAAGGTTTAACAGGCTTTGGTCGACAGAAGCTTTGTCGACAGATACTGTCGACAAAGCTTCTGTCGACAAAGAGCGTCTAGACTACATTCAGTTCTGTCGACAAAGCAAGTTGCAGTGTAGACGCAAAGGACAGTTTACATGCAATAATGCCTTCTGTCGACAGAACTCTGTCGACAAAAGATGTTATTCCTCGTAAAATGAGGTTTACCAGAGTCGACAAAACTGCTGAATTCTGTCGAAGTTATGTCGACAGAACTCAGCGGTACTGTAGACTCAGGTATAGTTTTGTCGACAAAAGTCCACTTTTGCATGGAGTTCTGCCCTGATCATTTTGGCTAACATCCATTAAATGAACTTGCTCTTCATTAACTTGTCTAATCCTTTTTTGAACCCAGTCTTACTTTGGGCCTTCACAATGTTCCCTGGAAAATGAGTTATGCATTTTGACAGTGTGCTGCAGGAATTTTTCTACCTGATCTTAAAAAATTCCAGTGTCAGAGATTCTACAACTTCTCTAGGCAATTTGCACTAGGGCTTAACAACTCTGACAAATGTTCCCTAATGTCCAGCCAAAACATCATTTGCTGCAATTTATGCCCCTTGCTTCTTGTCCTCGCATCAGAAATGAAGAACTACTTTTCACTGACCTCTGTGTAACAATCTCAAATATTGATAATTGCTATCATGGCCCCCAAGCTTGAGGTTCCCCATCCCTGGTTTAAAATATTGAACATAATTAGACCCGGGACCAATCCCAACAGGACTACACTCAGTATGCCTTTATAGCTTGAGTGTGAATCACAGAAATCTCCTCTCTGGGAATGGTTTGCCAACCAAATATACACCCAACTTTTTTAATAGCTCCATCTCATATAGGCTATATTTCTCTTTGTTTGCTCATGAGAAGGTAATGCTAAGCAGTATCAAAAGTCTTAAAAAGACAAAATATAATACATTTAGTGTTTTCCCCCTCACAAGACTTGCTACCTTGTCAAAGACATCCATTAGGTAGATTGGGATATGGTTTGTTCTTAACAAATCCACACTGACTGTTGCTTAACACCTTATTATCTTCTAGGTATTCGCTAATTCATTGTTTTATTATTTTACCTTTCCAAGTCCTGAAGTTAAACTAATTGGTCTATAATTGTCTGAGTTGTCTTTATTCCCCTTTTTATAGATTGGCACTATATTTGTCTCTTCTAGTTCTCTGGAATCTCACTAGTCTTTCATGAGTTTTCAAAGATAACTGCTAATGGCTCAGACTTCTCTTCAGTCAGCTTCTTGAGTATTCTAGGTTGTATTTCATCTGGCCTCTGTGACTTGAAGACAACTAACTTGTCTAGAGTAAATTTTGACTTGTTCTTTCTCTAATTCAAAGTCTGATCCTACCTTCTTTTCACAGGTATATTGACTATGCTTGCAGCCTATTAATTTTATTCACCATGGTTCAGGTGTTTTGTGAAGGAGTAAATAACATTTTTCTATTCCCCTTCCCCCCCCCCCACACCATTCATGATTTTATAGATCTCTATCATATCTCCCCTTAGTTGTCTCTTTTCTAAGAATAACAGTCCCAGCTTTTTTAACCTTTCACCATATGAAAGCTGTTCCATACCTTTAATCACTTCAGTTGCCCTTCTCTACACCTTTTCCAATTCTAATATCTTTTTTGAGATGGAGTAACTAGATGTACATTATGAAATTTTTGTTCTTAAATTCTATACCTTTCTTAAAGGCTCCTAATATTCTGTTTTTTTTGTCTTCTGCTGAATACTGTGATAATGTTTTCAGAAAATTATGCACGCTGATTCCAAGGTGTCTTGCGTGAGGGCCCAGTCTTAGAGATGCATAGGGTGAAATATGGACACCAAGGAAGTGGTCAATGGAAAAACTTCTACTGACTTCCCCGGGTTAAGATTTCATCCTTACTATCAGGTAGAGTATTGGTGTTGTGTGAAGTGACTCGTATATGTCATACATATTTCCAACATTTGCCTTGACTTTCCTTTCTGTCTGCAAGAGACACTTCTATTTTTTAAAGTATTAGTAAATTTAAACAACAACGTGGAAATTCACATAATAACTATATTAAAAAGTTTAACACAGATCTTTTTCTGTGTGAATGAAAATGACTTTTAAGATGTAATGCTTGCTATAAGCAGCACCAGTAGAATTTAATTTCAGCTGGTGAAATTTGATTATCATGAAATACTATAAACAAGAAAGATAAAGTTGTTATTCTCCATGGGTTCACTGTTACTATGAGAACCACATTAGTGGATAAAAAGAACTCTTGATTTGTCAGTGGTACTTCATTACTATTAGCATATATGTGATCTTGGTCCATGGATTAGCTCACTCAGAGGAAAATAAGATTCAGGCAAAGGTAATTCTTTTATAGAAATAATTTATTTAAGTCTCAACCTAATTGATTTCATATTTGTATGTATTATTTCACTAAATTAAATACATGAAAGTGAAGTGTATTAATCCTTTCCAATGCACTCTTAATTTAAACAATATTTGAAGTCAGAAAATACCTATACTGTAAAGGGTTAGGTTATTTATTGTCTTTTAAATACTAACTGTAAATACTGAAAGTAAACCTAAATATAATCAACACATCATATGTTTAACTGAGCCTCTGATTCAGAAATGTTAAAACATCAAGAAATACCCTTGAAAAGTAGAAATAGTTTTGTTAAGTCATACATAAAAAGTTGCAGCAAATCTTGTTCTGTAGATTTACATCCCATGCTGCCTGCCAACACACTCTAAATTAGCATAATATGTTGTTCAAGATGCACTGCATAAAAAGATTTTGAAAGTCGATGGTTAAACAGGTTCTAGAGTTACTGAAATAGCAAGTGCACCTGAAACTTGGCAGATAGGTAAACTGTTATGCTATTTAATAAATGCCCAGATCTAAGCTACGGTTACACTATGACTTTTGCCACAAGAGGCAATGCAAATGAAGTACAGATTAGCATTTTCCCATGCTTCATTTGAATACTCTCTTTCATTCCTTTTTTTGCGTTAGGGGTTTTTGCACAAAACCAGGCAGTGTGGCCATGGCTGGTTTGCACAAACCCCTCTTTTTCCACAAGATCCTTATGCCTGTGCTGGAGAGGCATAAGGATCTTGCGGAAAAACTGGTTTTTGCACAAAATGGCTATGGCCACACTGCCTGTTTTTGTGCAAAAACCCCTAACGCAAAAAAAGGAATGAAAGAGAGTTTGCCAATAAAGCACGGGAAAATGCTAATCCATGCTTCATTTGCATTGCCTCTTGCAGCAAAAGTCATAGTGTAGACATAGCCCTACTGTATAGTTTCAGTATGAAAAAATATAAAATAGCTTAATAAACAGATACAAGTTCAAACCTCTGCATTGTCTAACATATATTAATTGGAAAAGAGTAAAATATTTTAAACAACTTGTTCTTTATTTTCTATTCCACTATACTAAAGCAAATTAAAAAGCACATTTTCAGAACAAGATCTTTATCTTGTAATTATATGCATGAAATGGCATGCACTACATTTTACTGAGCATAGTGTTTGTGCCTGTCCTTTAGGTTACCTGACTACATTATGCAATGACTGCATTTTGAGAGGCAGAGATGTCTAAGCCAAACCATGCCAAGTTTCAATAAAGGCAACAATGTATACCCAGAATTAAATGTTTCTAATCTTTCTGATTTAAGTAATATCTCTGTTTGTATTAACAAGGAATATAACATGTTACCATTGCTTCAAGTGAAACAACATTGGATAAATTACCATGGAATCTAATAAATTCTCCATCAGTTGGAGTCTTTCTATCAAAAGTGGATGTATTTTTTAAAAGATATGCTCTTATTCATGCACAATTATTTGACTAAATGTGTGAATTATTGGGTAAAATTCTACAGCCTGAGTGTTGCAGGAGTTCAGATGTAAATGATCATAATGGTCCCTCTGGGCCTTAAGATCAATGTATCTGTCTATAAAAATCTATAAACACAGGTTCTCTTATTATGCATTATTAGTCAATGGTGCAATGTATTTAATAAAAGACAATTCTGTCTTGTTCAGACAAGTGCTGATGTGGAAACAATAGTCATTAGTGGTGTAGGGGAAAATAACATATTGTCTTACCTGAAGACCAATGGGACCTGGAGGGCCAGGAAATCCTCGTGGACCTTCATCTCCTTTCTGCCCAAACATTCCTTGCTGACCTCTTGGACCTGGCTCTCCATCGCCTCCCTAACAGACAGGAGCACATGACATGAGCAAAAAACAGATGGCAGGCTTGATTAAGAAGGAGCTCAATTAAAGCCTGTGGACTTATCTCTAAATATGTTTGGTATCAAGCTGATATTGCAACTGATTATCATATACACAATAAAAAAGTCATCCAAATGATAGCTTCAATTCACCAATTGCATTATTCCTGTATTAAAGAGTAATGTGTGTAAATCATTTGGATTGTGAGTGTGGTGACACATTTTTTACATATATGTTATGATTTCAAATCTATTCTATGTCAAGCAGCATGAATTAACACATTACTGAGTTTTGTAAACCTAATGAGACTCTGAAAATGTCTGGGTTTGCTATGCATAAAAACTGCATTACTTACAGCTATACCAGGGGCACCAACAGGACCTTGAAGACCTGGTGGACCCGGAGGACCCTGCATAAAAAGAAAAAGACAGCAGTTTTGGCATCTGGAATGAGATGAACAGTAGACAGAGAGAGAAGAATATTTGCATGATCAAGGTCTATTAAGCATTTCTATACTCCTCCAGAGAGCATGTGATATTACTCTAAAGTCTTTTACATTCAGTGCAGTCAAGCATTATTTGTTTAGCTCTGAAAGACTCAGACTTGCCTGGCTACAATAAATTTTAAACTGACATTTACTGAAAGCACTTACAATCATAATGTTTCAGGATATTTAAAAATGGATTTCCATGCAAACATGAATCTAAATGAATACTGGCTTTTCCAAAACTAAAAATATCAGACCTTTTAATGAGATTTGTACAGAGGAAAGTCAACCCTTAAAGTGTGTTCTCATGATCTATCTTCAAACTGAATACTTATTATTTGTATTACATATTCTGTAAAAATTTTAAATATTTTTGTGATTGCATAATACTTTCTATTCTGTCCTTTCTGAGAAGTGAGCTAGTTTGAGCAGTATGTGGTGTCCTGACAGGTATCTTGCTCTGTTGAATGTTGATAACCATTCACTGCATGCATGTGCTGCCTTTCGGTGCTGCTCTAGTTCTGCGCAGATAACCAGCACAGCAGACTCCAAGAGAATGCCCAATGACCACAAAATCAGATAAGGGATGAAGGTACCCAGCCAGGTTTAGTGTCAAATTAAGCACAATAGCATCCTGCAGACTCTACTGAATTATTAAGAACGGGAGCCTGTTGCAGTAGACCAGCTCAGTCAGTTGTGGGACTTTCTACTGCCCCCAGCCCAGGTAAGGACAGCCCTCTTTAAGGAACATCTTTATACACATATATAAACAGTATTGTCTCAGGGTACAACCCATTACCTTATTCATGTTGATTTGATTGAAACATTCCTATCCATCATGCTATCATCCTGATCTTATCCTTAGAATTGATTGTTTTGTTACTGTTATCTATGGAAAATGTATTAGTATCATGATGTTTCCTAATCGGGTGTTCTGGAAGTTTTTGCATGCCTACTCCCTTTCTTCTCAGATTCTGTGAGCAGGGACTGCCTCTTGCTCACAACTCAACTTTTCTTTAAATTAGCAAAATCTTGACTACCTTTGTCTAGATTCAAAGCCTCATATCAGGACTGTGATTTATGGGCTTACATTTTAGTTCCTCTTCTGACTACATGGGCTATAGTCTTATTTATAGAAACACTCTTTTAAACTTTTTAAAGTGGTCATAAATTACATTCTGTAATTCTAGAAATATGCAAAGGAGGCTTAGTGTAAATAGGAATCATGACATATATCATCATAAGAAATTACATGTCATATGTACATGATCATTTCGATCTACATATATGTTATGGGCCTAATTATGCATTACTTACTAACAGTGGTTGAACATTTGTCATATCAGTATTCCCACTGAAGTCTATAGGGCTACTCACATGAACGTTATTCAGAACCTCATGTGTATAACTTTTGCCTTACACACAAAGTAAGTTTACTAAGGAAGATGACTGATTTTTTGATTAACCTGGAAAGTTCCAAAGGAGAATGTGTGGTCAATGGAGAGGCAATAGGATCTCCAATTTGTGTTGCAAGAACAGGCATTACTAGGTACATGCCAAGCTATATTGCAGGATAATTTCATGAGTGGGGGGAGCATGAAAAACTAGTTCAAATGTTCCTACACATGCACCAGACTAACTACTGCTGATATTATGCAGAATTGTTCTAGCCAAGTCAGTCCCAGTATATTAGAGAAAAACGTGGGGAAGGGCAAAACTTTAATATGATTAACTTTTGTTAATTTTCAGGTAGCTCTCTGAGGCTTCTACACTGCAGGCTTCTTATGTAAGAAACTTTTTGCAGCAGAGATCTTCTGCAAAAACTTCTTGTGCAAGAGTGCTTCCACACTGCAAAAACGCATGGGAAAAGCGATGTGCTGTTGTGCAGGAGAGCATCCAGACTGCATGGACACTCTCTCGGAAGAAAGCGCTGATTGTCATTAACAGAATGGCCACCAGGGCACCCGTGCTTCTTTCAATAGGCTGTTTTTCTGCAAAAAACTCCTGTTTCCCATCCACACACACCTTTTTGCACAAGAGCGCTTGCATAAAAAAGAGTTATTCCTCATAGAAAGAGGAACATCTATTGAGCAAAAACCCCCTCTCTTCTGATTTACTGTAAATTTACTTGTGCAATAATGCGCTTGCAGTGTGGACGCTCCACGAGTTTTCGCACAAAAACTCTGCAGTGTAGACATAGCCTGATTGTATGGAGAAAAGCTCAGTCAGTAGCATCCCTTGAAGTGATGAAGCTCCTCTGGAGAATGAGTGGACGGCTTAGATAGTCAAGGGCAGTAATTCCAGAATCTTAGGCAGACAATATGAAGTGGTAGAAAGGAGAATGCAATGACATGTTTGTGAAATGACTGAATAACTCATCTGCTGTGAATCTCAATTTAGGGTTGACCTAAAACTGTTTGTGAATTTGCACTGATTAGCTTGGTTTTAGGAAAAAGCCTATTCAGGACCAGTGTCAGAAAAGCGAGTGTACGTATATGTCTCTTCTTCCTCTCTCCCACCTTATAATCTTTAGTTTGTGGTAAGGTCATTTGTATGGGAGGTTTGAATTCCCATTTCTCCTTGTCATATTAATGAACTAATTCAATGGTATGAGATAGCTTGCTTTCAAGCTGTCCTATTGCAGCTGATGCACTTTGTATAAACTCTCCCCAGGCCTAAGAACAAGTGAGAATGACTCATTAGCCTTATAGTTAAGACAAATAGGATGAGAAAATGTGTGATAAGAAAATGCAGATTCAAATCCTTCCTCTGACTCCTGACTCTAACAGAGAGAAGATCAGAATCCATATCTTCTAAAGTCCAGGCATGTGCCCTAATCACTAGGTTAAAAAGTATTTGCTTGCTCGCTCTGTTTGACCTAATGAATGTGTATATATTAATACAAAGTGGAAAAGCTTCAATAGAAGTACTTGGGCATTGACTAGTCTGTAGCCTGGTGGTGATACTAGTCACCAGCAGTGAGAGATGTCAGAGTTCAATTATTTGCCCTTGAATAGAGACTCATAGCTGAGTGCGCCACTACCCTGGCAAGTCTCCTACCCACAGCAAAACATTTTAAAGAAAGACATGCACTCCTTCATGTTGCTGAAGCTGGCCAGACTTTTTCAGTTTGCTAACAAATTCTAAGCATTTTCTGGACAAATATTTTCTTCTGATTTTCAGTTTGCTGGAACCCAGCGCAAGTGGGAGGCTACTCGTAAACTTCTCCCACCCCACACACTGGCACAATCTCCAGAAGATTTGTTCTTGCAAGATCTCTGCATGGAACTCCCACTGAACTCAGAGTGTCAATGGATTAAAGGATCGGATTCAAACTGCTGTTAACAACAAGAGCTGTGCAATATTTTCTTTGTAAATGAGAGTGTATCGGATGGGCCCATATGTCAAAAGAAAAAAAAATGCAATATTATCTGGTTGTGAAGGGATTTACTGTACATTGCTGGAATTTCCCCTTACCCTTTTTACAAAACAGGAGGGCTGTGTCTAGACTGGCAAGTTTTTCCGCAAAATCATCTGCTTTTGCGGAAAAACTTGCCAGCTGTCTACACTGAACGCTTGAATTTCCACAAAAGCACTGACAATATCATGTAAGATTGTCAGTGCTTTTGTGGAAATACTATGCTGCTCCCGTTCGGGCAAAAGACTTTTTCTGAAAAACTTTTGCGCAAAAGGGCCAGTGTAGACAGCAGAGATTTGTTTTCCGGAAAAGCATGTCTAGATTGGCCACGGACGCTTTTCCGCAAAAAGTGCTTTTGTGGAAAAGCGTCCTGCCATCTAGACGCGTTTTTCCGAAAATGCTTTTAACGGAAAACTTTTTCGTTAAAAGCATTTCTGGAAAATCATGCCAGTGTAGACATAGCTGAGCACTACAGCTAATATTTGAATGCTGTTGTGGGCAAATTAGCAAAGGGGTGGTGTGATGCAAGGAATCATCACAGAAAGTGCGAAAGCTCTGGGTGTTGCTTTGTGATAGGCTTGCGTTGGTGATATATAAAACACTGTTGTGAATCAGGTGATGAGAGTAGATTGAAGGAACCTGTTTGGGGTGGGATCAAGGCAGTATAAAGCTTGCTCCAGCCACAAGGAGTGCACTTTAAACTGGGAATTTCAACCTAGGTAGAAATTTGCTCCGGTCCTTCCATTTGCTCGGTGTTCTAATGTCATTTAGGGCCTCACTGAGTTAAAAGAGCTTATTCTGGTCTAGGAATTTTATCAAGGATGGTAATGGTAATTTAAAACATTTTATTGTCTTAAATTATTTATTTTTCTCCATTTCTATGGCTCTCATGACTTTTCTCTTGTGCTCTTTCTACCTTCATTGTATTGATGAGTTTCTGACCGACTGTACAAATACCATTATGGCAGTGGGACAGGCAAATGTTTTCAGTCTCTTCAGTGAAACACCTTAATATGATATTCCTGCATTTGTTCCAACGAGGTTGCAGCTAATGGAATGACTTTACATTACTACAAATGGAACACGTATCTAAATTCGCTAGACTGCACTGCAAATGTCAGCTGCTGCTTCTATGCTCTCAAGACGAATTCACCTCTCTGCAATCAAGACAAGGCCATTGGAGCTCATAAATCTCACTTAGCCCTCCAAATACAGTTCCCGCTTAGTATCTTCTATTAACCTTGTTTAAAAGTGGCCCTCCAAATAATTCTCTGTTCCTTCACTGAAGTGTCACAAAAGGCAAATTGTAAACCCTAGTTGTCATGGAGAAATCTGGGGGTTATAGCTAGCAGAGACAGAACTTGTACCTGCAATTGTCCATTGTTAGGGGTGGGTCAGGGCATGGAGGGGCACCCCTGTAGAAATGAACTACAGATATCCCTAGCTGGTAGATGGCCCCTTTGCAGCCATTATCAATATAGGTTTCTAGTTAAATATCACCCAGTCAAAGCCCCAAACCATAAATACTTTTTTTGGGGGGGGAGGAAGGGGCTCAATAAAGATATGGAAGAAGATGTTTAGATTTTTCTGAAAACCAGTTAGGCCTTAAACATCTTCACGTATGACCCTCTGATCTTAATAGATCCAAATTCCCCTCCTTCACTTCTATCAGGAGACAAACACATGAACCTAAAGTCATCTGAAATGAGAGGTTCAGGTGCTTGTCACCTTGAATGCAGGCTCTTTGAAGGGAGCCCAAGATGACACATTCTACCCCTCCCCTTCTGGATCGTGGGAGAGAAAGCAAGATTCACAGAAACTCATTCTGAAATCACACCCTTGGTTATTAAGTATGTGCTGGATATAATTTTTCAAACTTACTTTGCAATTACTTTTTCAGGAAGGCTCCTGAAACATACTAAAAGCTTTAATTCTTATTAAGGGCTATGGACTGAATCTTCATCTTCATGCCCAGATCAAGAAGCTGTGCTGAGAAGCTTAAAAGGCACTAACCTGTAATTATGTCCTTAAAGTCTTGCTAAATACAAATTTTTTGCCTAAACATCTACACAAGAAAATGGGAGACAGCAATATTTTGGCTAATGAAAAAAAAAAAGATATTGAATTTTCAGTAAAGTATGTCCCACTGCAAGGATAGCAGAAAATAACCCTCTGGAAAATGGTTCTGATTAGCTAAATGATCAAATGAACCGCACTTTTGCCATTGCTGCATTACTGATACTAAAGTTTTCAGAGACATGCTGAAGAAGTCTTGCACACCTTTAAGGGAGTGAACAGGAGGATTTGTATGCAGCCACATACAGACCCTGAATGGAACTGGAGTCTGGAGCTGCACAAATATGTGAAAACCTCAAAACCTTCCCTTTTCCTTCCATAGAGGGGCACCATGCTTATGTACATGTTTGTGTACATAAGCAGTAGTGGGATTTGTTCCTACATCAGAGAAAGTTTACAACAATGATAATTATTAATAAAACTAGTTTACAGTTATCTGGGCACAAAATGTGAGCTTGGAAAAATTAAGTTATTTTAAAATGTTCTCATGTAAGATATAAAAATGGTCAAATAGAATTTTTCACCCACAAGTTCACCTTTAGGTTGAGGATAAATGCCAGGAATTTAATTCCAAATGGGAGTTTGTTCAGTAACTTTTCTAAGTATATTCTCCAGAAAACATTGACTTATAATAGATGTGCTTTCTCAACCGTATCTATAATATGTTCACTACATTAACGGGCCATTGCAAATATTTTACTACAACATTTATGATTTGATCTGACAAAACAAAATTGTGACAAGTATACATTTGCTGCATGCGGAACTGAAAAAGTAAGAGTCTTTCACATGAATAACTGCAGAAGGACACTCTTATTTTTTATAAAAATGACATTTCCAGAACAAATTTGCTACATAGTCTCCTACAAAAATATAATAAAAATGTTAATTGACATGCCTTGTATTAAACAAGATGCTGTTTGATGTGAAGATTTATAATCATACAATTGACAGTTGCTAAGAACATTCTCCATTTCTAGTTCTAGATGCATATTTAATAATACATCATCTTTTTCATGATAGGGATTTGCAATATATTTAAAGTGACTGATTATGCTACTCTTACACTGAGCTCTTACTAACTCACTTTGGGTATGTCTATACTAGCCCCCTAGTTCTAACTAAGGAGGCTAATGTAGGCATTCGAAGTTGCAAATGAAGCCCGGGATTTAAATAAGGAAGTTCATAGGAATCTTTCAACTGACTTCAGTGGGTCATTAGGGTATGTTTGAACTGCAGCAGAGAGTGACCCTCCCATTCCAGTAGACAGACGTAGACTAGTGGGGCTCCATTAGCAATCTAAATATAGGTCTGGTTGAGACTTGGGTTAGCCACCCAAATTGCAGCCATGTGGCTGGGTGGTCTAGAGAAGCTGAGCTGCGACCTGAGTTGTAGTATCAACACTGTTTTTTCTAATGTGCTTCATCAATCTCTGCTGGCATAAGTCTGTTCACTTAGGCTCGGAGGTTCATGACTTGGCACATTTGAAAGTTTGCATTAAATATCTCACTTCTGGGCAGCCTTCTGAATTGAACCTCAGAGATCCATGGAGTTAGCTCAATGATAGTAAAATACATTTCAAAAGCTTCCTAAAGGATACATCTTTAGAATAAAATTCTGGACCCATTTCCACACTGGCATCTCATGTTCACAATCAATTTGTATTGTATATTAGTGTAGTCATGAGTACTAGTGTATATGCTCTTTGTTACTTTCTACCCCCTATGTCTTAGTCATAACCTTAACCAACTGAATGTAAAAGAATACTCACTATTTTATGTAGAGTATTGTTAACATTACGTGAAAACTTGATGTAAATACTTTAAAGGTGTAATTAAGTCACGCAGTGGGATTGACAGTTTCTTGTGTTTCTAATGGTTGAAGTGTGTGGGTCTATGTGAGACATATGCCTGGGTCCTGCCGGCTTAGCAAATGCTTCATTAGATAGAGTACAGTAATTAATTCAAAAGCAATAAAAAAGTGAAGCCAATATACCAGATGAAGTAGTTAGATACTCACATTTTCTCCCTTGTCACCTTTACTGCCTTTCTGACCTGGTTCACCAATTTCACCCTGTAATTGAAAGCCAGAAGTTATGTTTCTTCTTTAAAATGACCTACCTCCTAACTGCAGTCAATATCACTGTATCTTTAAATGTCACCTTTAACATGATTATGCTACCTGTTTTATGCTGCAGCTTCAAGTGTGAAGGCCTAAGGGGAACAATTTTGTACGGATCAATCACATTGGTGTGACAGACTAATCCAGGTATTGACTGGCATGCAGAAAAATGCAACATGACCTGGCTTTGAAGTGTACTACAACTGAGTTATAAATAAAGGAAACTGTTTTTTCTCATGCCAGTTTCAATATGAACTGATAATGAAAGTATCTTGATTTATAGACTAATCTAATTACATGTGACAATAACTGCTTCTCATTGTTGTGCATGGTATTTCAAAACCTCAGCATTACTCAAATTACCCAGTAACTATCTCAGAAAGTTTTATTTGGTTTAGCATAATAATAAAAGACAGCTCATGTGATTTAACACAAGGACCCTCTGTGGGTTCATATATTCATAGATTCCTAGATCAGAAGGGACCATTATGACCATCTATATAGCACAAGCCATAGAAAATCCCCCAAATAGTTCCTAGAGCATACTAATTCCTAATTATGTAATAACACAAATAACACAGCCAGGCACTAAAATGTAAACCCCAAAGTACGTATATTTGTGTTATTGAAGTTAGTTAAAACTATGCTGGGTTTCAAAGAATAATAATAGACCAAATCTAAACTGAATTCTGAAAGGTGATGAGTACCTCAACTCTTCTTGGAGTTAGTGGGCTCAGGAAGAATTAATCCCTTTGTTTTTATGCTCCCAACACTTAGGCTGTGTCTTCATTGGCCCCTATTCCGTAATAGGGATGCAAATGTAGCACTTTGGAATAGGCAAATCCACTGGGGATTTAAATATCCCCCGCGGCATTTGCATTAACATGGCTGCCGCTTTTTTCCGGCTTGTAGATAAGCCGGAGAAAAGCACCAGTCTGGACGCGATCCTCCGGAAAAGATTTTTATATAGGCAAAAATTAATTTTAATGTCATATTCCTGCTTTGTTTTGCTACAGTGTCCATCTCAATTCTTTACTGTTAGGAATCTTAAAGTGTTCTACAATTGCTTGGACATGGATCCTGATCCCCTATGACTTCTGCTGCTTACATGTCTGACTTCCTTTTCATGAAAGGGGTTGTTTAGCCACTGTGTCTAATGTGATGACAGCTACTGCAAGTCCCCTTGGTGCATTAATCATCTCACCAGCAGACAAATTGCAAACAATAAGGCTTACCTTGTCACCATCTTCTCCAGGAGAGCCACCAGGACCAGCAGGACCTGGAAGACCCACAGGACCTTGTACTCCATCACGTCCTGCAGGACCCTGAGGACCTTTTTCACCCTGAAGGAAGAAAAATCATCTTTATTATCACAACAGAGTAATTAAGGCTTTAGTATAATGAATTCATACTTCATCAACCAATATGCAAATTGTTTTACAGCAACACGTAAATGTGTTTGTGTTTGTGATAGAGGCCACCATATAACAAAAAATTGATTTCAGATAATCATGCTCAAAAAGATCAAACGAAAATCTCTCACAAACATTAGAAATACAAGGTGGGTGAGCTAATATCTGTTATTGGGACAACTTCTCTTGGCAAAAGAGACAAGTTTTCACAGATCTCTTCTTCATGGCATTATAGAAAAGGTCCTCTGTATCTCAAGTTGACCCCACAAAATATTTTACTTCACCTACCTTGTCTCTAAAACCCTGGGCCCAATGCTGTTACAACAATGCTGCATCTCACAAATACTGACATATTTAGTGATACCATGTATCAACTCCATCCCTTCAGTGACTATAAAAGAGTAATACTCGAGGCCAATTTAGCACTTGTGTCCAAACATTTCTTTTCCACACAACCCATTTTAATTAACAATAATTAATCATCTTTGCATTTTGTGCTAGAACAATTTAACAAGTTTAAAAGCTTCCCTAAAATAATTATTCACATTTAAAGAGATTCCCAGTACTACTACATCAGAATGGTCATAACCATGCTCGGTATTTTCCTGACATGAAGGAATCCCAATTGGTGTGTACCTGGCTGAGAAAGTTTCCAAACCACTTTGCCTCCAATTTCTAGCACAAAGGATAAATTGGGCACAAGGAAGGATATTCTGCAGGTGAGGATGGATATGTACAATGAACTGCAGTTACCCGTTGCTGACGGATAGTTTGTTGGCAGTCACTGTTCCCTGACACGTTAGAACAGTTTTCAAGCAGTTCTAACCTGCACGTGGAACTTGGCCAAAAATCAGGGATGTGCAATTGGTTCCCTGACAACCTGACTATATCTGTGCCAACTGGAAGCTCAATGCAGTAGAGAATCTGGACCCTAAATTCCTCAGTGCACCACTGTCCAACAGAACTTGTAAATAATTAAGGCTATGTCTACACAGGAGTGTTATTTCAGAATAACGTCAGTTATTCCAAAATAATGTAATGCATGTCTATTCACCACGCCTGTTATATCGAAGTAATTCAAAATAACAGGCTTCCCTCTCTGAATCCTGTAACCCTCATTGTTTGAAGAGTAAAGGTATGTCTACACTTCATTCCTCTCTCTTGAGAGGAATGAAAATGCAGACTCCCGAAATTACAAATGAAAAGGGGATTTAAATATCCCACACTTCATTTGCATAATCGCATTATGGTGCTATTTCAAAATAGCGTTATTTCGAGAGAAAAAAGGGGTTATTTCGAGATAAAACCCTTCTCTCAAAATAACCCTTACTTGAGTTGTAAGGGTTTTTTTTGAGGGAAGGATTTTATCTTGAAATAACCCCTTTTTTCTCTTGAAATAGCACTATTTCAAAATAGTGCCATAATGCAATTATGTAAATGAAATGCGGGATATTTAAATCCCTGCTTCATTTGCAATTTTGAGTGTCTGCATTTGCATTCCTCTTGAGAGAGAGGAATGAAGTGTAGACATACCCTTAGGGAAGTCAGGGGAAGAGTGCTCTATCTCGAAATAACTGCTGTGTGGACAGTGCCAAAAGTCAAAATAAGTTATTTCGACTTAAGCTACACCCTAAGGGTATGTCTACACTAGTTCCCTAGTTCGAACTAGGGAGGCTAATGTAGGCATTCGAAGTTGCAAATGAAGCCCGGGATTTAAATAGCCCGGGCTTTATTTGCATGTTCCTGTCCGATTGCCATTTTGAAATTCCACTAGCCCTAAGTAACTGCCTGCAGCTACACGCAGCAGTGAAACGGCAATTCGAACTAAGTCCTCAGTTAGAATTAACTGTTACTTCTCTTGGAATGAGGTGTAACAGTTAATTTGAACTGAGGACTTAGTTCGAATTGCCGTTTCACTGCCCCGTGTAGCCACGATCAGTTACTTCGTGCTAGTGGAATTTCAAAATGGCGATCGGATGGTAACATGCAAATAAAGCCCAGGATATTTAAATCCCAGGCTTCATTTGCAACTTTGAATGCCTACATTAGCCTCCCTAGTTCGAACTAGGTGGCTAGTGTAGATATACCCTCAGTTATTAATAGTGCAAATCAGCCGAAATCTCAACCAGCTTCACACTGTTAGCTTGCAATAAGACTATGAAGGCTGACTATGTATGCATGTAATGTCAAATGGTAAATTCCACTTTGAGTTGAAATGGGAGATATTTTGTGCTAAATCAGGAATAGGACATGGCAAATCTAGAAATTTTCAGGTTTAAATATTAAGATACAAACACACAGTTCTGTGAAGCTTGAATTCAGTATGGTGTCATTGTTGTAACAAACTCAGAAAAGTCCATACATCACACCAAGCTGTTGGCAAATAGGCTCTGCTGAGCAGGCTAGCTTTCTCCTTCAGCCTGTTCCACAGGGCACAGAGTCCAGACCATGAAACTTTTGGAATAACTTACAAGACAGTTCCTTTCCAGGCTCCAGAATTGAACCCCAGGGTGCTGTGTGGCATGTACAACCCACTGGCTTCTAAGCTCATCCTTACATTGTATGTTTCAGTTTGATATTCAAACCCACGATGTTCAAATCCTCTAGAATTTTTCTCCATAAGGTTAGTAAACTATAATAGGGACTCATATAGGTGCAACAATAGAGCTTATCATTTTATATCACATGGGAATTAATATGTAGTTGTGTGCCTGTCTGTCACCAGCTATTTCACATTTTCAAAATGTCTCTTGAAATGTTCAGGTGAAAAAAATTGGGGAGGAGACAGCAAATAAGAATGGAAATAATATAAAAGGCACAACAAAAACAATGAATAAAAACAATTCTGGTGTGCTTTCTGTTCCTGAAACAACAGTGTGCTTTCTGTTCCTAAAATAAAAGCAAGGTGAGAGTCTGAAAAAATGATTAGTTAGGTATTCATCAATGATCACATCAAAGACTAAAATGTGCCAGTAAAGCACCAATTACTGAGAGAGAATATAATGGAAAATAGCAATGAATGGTAATAAAATTTGATAATGAAGTGAGAAATAAATTTGCACTCTACTACATGGAAGCAGGGTAAAAAATCTGAATCAAAACTACAATCTGACAAAATATTTTATGAATGGATTCTGCCTCCTTTGTACCAATAATGATTTAGCCTTGTTTAACTCTCCCTCCTAGGGATGTGCAAAAATATGTTATCATCCAGTTTAATTTAATTTGCAGTTTTTTGTATTGTAAATATAAAGGGAATAGGGTAGGTGAGCTGGGCACATACACAATGGGGAAGACCTGGAGTATGAACAGATGAAGTTCTTGAATGAAAAGTAATAACTTTTGTACTGTAACAGTCTTATGTGCCATCTCCTTCGAATCACTTACAGGAGCACCCTTCTCTCCCGCTGGGCCTGGGGGACCTTGCGGACCTGGACGGCCTGGTAGACCAATAGGGCCAGCAGTACCTGCTGATCCACGTTCACCTGGAGACCCCTGAAAGAAAAAAAATACTAAGTATGAAAAGAATTCTAATATAGTCAATTTAAGTTTCTCACTGTTCTTCAGCTTCAAAGCTCCTTCAGTATCCTTCAATTAGTCTTGATACAGATGGGTATTCTCAAAGCCTATTATGCACTACTAAGGAGATTTCATGGATTTGGGTCATGGATTTATATTCTAAAGAATATTTAGATAAGCTTTTGCTGTCTGTACACTAGTGCCCAGCGGTGCCCATCTGGTCTCAGACATTTGACTGTAATCGATGAGAAGTGGCAACAAGCATTCTGAAGTATGTGGAGTATCATCTGAGTTAGAAATAGTGGAAGATTGCCTGGTCCTGGTCACTTAGACTTCATCAATACAAATGCCTTTGTAAGATGCTTCTACAGGTTGAATCTTAAATCTGCGACTCTCTGGTCCGGCAACATCCGTGGCCTGGCAGGATCATGAATGTTGCTGGACCAAAGAGCCCCAGCAACCGGGAATGTGAGACACTCAGGGAGTACAGCCAAGGGGAGCCACACCATCAGATCTGTGACTCCCATCCCCAGAAAGCCCTGGTAAAGAAGACTGGAGTGGGACTGATGAGCCGCATCTCTGTTAAGCCCCCTCCCATCGTGGCAGCAGCAGGGCAGATGCAGAGTCCCATTCCAGGAAAGCCATGGTGGGAAATGGCAGCAGTGGGGCCACCAGCAGCCAGAGAGCCCCATCATCAGGAAGCCCTGGCTGGGCGAGGCAGCAGCAGGGCAGCCCTGAAGCCTAGTCCCTAGGAAGCCCTGGGAGGGACAGAAGCAGACAATCCACGAAGCCCTGTCCCCGAGAAGCCTCAGTGGGGTGGGGCAGAAGCGGGCTGGCAGCAGTGTGCTAAACCCAATCCCTGTAGCAGCGGGGCTGGAGCCCAGTGGCAGTGGGACTGGAGCAGAGCCAGCCAGAGGGAGGGGCAGTATCCTGGGAGGCCAGTAGCAGGGGACCTCCCCGATCTGTCATATTCCCTCATTTGGGACTGGTCAGGGAGTTCCAATCTGTAATATAGTGTAAGAACCCTAACATTGATTTGAGAGGACTTGATTGTATTCTGGCTAATATAAGATTTGCAATAACATTTGTAATAACCTTAAGATCCAAGGAGAAATGAGGGAAGAAAATATCTTAGCATTGATATTTTCAGGAATAAAGTATAGACATAACATAGCAGAGGTTCGCATCAGGCTAGCATTCTAGGAAAAGAATGTGGTGACAGATTGTGTCATGCTGATGAGAGCACTAAGATTAGTGGCAACTGGGACAAAGGTGCAAGCAATGATGGTGTCCATGCTGGTAACGATAGCACTGGTAATAGCAACAGCAATTGTAACTGTAGAGAATAAAGACTTCTTCCCACACCTGCCATTTCCCCCCAGACATGATCTCCTGGAGGATACTGGTTCAAACAGTTTGACTTCAGTTGTTGATCACATATGCATAGGTGGGTAGATATCAACATGACTTTCCATCATCATTTTCCCAGTCTGACTAATGGTTGTTTTCATGGCCAAAAATGTTCAAAATGGACATTGTGCCCTTCCACCATGACACTGCTTTTTAAATAAATATAATTCTAATAATATCTAGAAGAGCAGCAGCACTTATTAACCCTGTCTCATAGCCCTTCTGCCAACTGGAAAATGTGGGTTAGCCTTACTAGTTGGCTTTCAAATTGTATTGAAATAAAATTTAAATATTGAAAAGCAAATGTCCAAAAGTATTTGAAATAGTCATTGCTGGGAATTGTGGACTCGTTTAAACACAGCAGATTTTTTTCTTTCCAAAAATCAGATTTCACTTTAGAACTTTTCTAAATGAAGGATTTGTTATAGGATTTTTAAAATCTTTTGCACAACATAAAGGACATGTGCTACCATTCAGTGAAAGCCGAAGTATTAAATGCAGCTTTTAAAAGGTTTAATTTTGAAGTCTATACTCAGTTCTTACTCAGGCCAACTCATTTTGGTATAAAGTTCCTTTCACAAGGAGCTCTTAGCTCTGCTTGAGACAGTAGCATTTTGTAACAGACTCTGGTGTTGCATACCTAAAGAAATATATTACCCAAATAAATAAATACATACTGGATAGTGACATAGGACAGAACCATGAAGTCTAAATATTTCAGGAATTAGCTTACTATGAACTAATGCCTAGGTAATACATTATGCTGTGCATTGAAGATAAAGAGCTCCACATGGGGCAGAAATCTGCCTCTGAGGAACACAAACACCTCAAAGTATTATTGGTCTTATTGACTTCAAAACACTACAAAATGCAGGACTCCATTATTTTACAAAAATACAAAAATGGATTAAAGTCTATGACCAGAAATTTTAATAATGCACAAGTAGGCATGTTAGAAATATATATTAATTTTATACAGAAAATAATTATAGCAGATTTGGTTTGCTCTGTGCTGAAATACCTTACTTCTAAAGGTGTAAAAACATCTACATCATATTACTGTCTTTAAGTATACTTCTCAGTGAGGAACAATCTGGTTTTAGTCTAGGTAATTCATGCACAGAGACAATTTTCACCTTCAGAAGGGTTATTGAAAACACAAGTTAATTTCAAGGAACCCTCTGTATTAATTTCATAGACTTTCAAAAAGCATTTGATAGTGTAAAAGGTATCAGAGGGGTAGCCGTGTTAGTCTGAATCTGTAAAAATACAAAAATGGATTAAAGTCTATGCATCTGACAAAATGGGTCTTTGCCCATGAAAGCTTATGCTCCTACACTGCAGTTAGTCTATAAGGTGCCACAGTACTCCTCGCCGCTTGTAAAAGGTATGTAATCTGGAAAATTATTAGACTATGGAATTCAAATGACAATTATTAGTGTAAGGAAAATATTTTATACTAACTCCGAATGTTGTGTTAAAATGGATAAAGGATTAAATATATCCTTTGAAATTAAGACAGGTATAATGCAAGGGATAATGCATGCTTTTTCTATTCTTGTGCTTCCTCATCATTGACTACGGTCTCAAGTGATGTAAGAATAATCAATATGGCTTAAGGTGGAATCATTTGAGATTATTCAATCTAGATTTTGTTGATGATATCACTATTCTACATGAAAATACTAAAGGACTTCAAGCATGCACAAATGAAACGATGTAGAGGGTTGGACTGAGACTCAATGTAAAGAAACATAAAACCATGGTAACTGGAGATATGGATTTAAACATCAAAATCGACAATGAGGAACTAGAGAAGGTAGATCAATTCTAATAGCTTGGAAGCACAATAAGCCAAAATGGTATGTGCTTTTAGGAAATCAGAATAAGGATCAGCAAAGCAAATGCAGCGTTTGGTAAAAATGTGGAAACTTAATATGTATCCTTACATACAAAACCAAGCATCTATTCAGTTGTCATTGTGAAATCTGGCAACTTAAGAACAAATGCTCAGAAGTTAGATGTATTTCATCATAAGTGGGGCAAGTAGGACAAGAAGCAATGAGCTTAAATGCAGCAAGGAAGGTTTAGGTTGGACATTAGGAAAAAGTTCCTAACTGCCAGGGTGTTTAAACACTGGAATAAGTTGCCTAGGCAGGTTGTGGAATCTCCATCTCTGGAGATATTTCAAAGCAGGTTAGATAGACATCTATTAGGGATGGTCTAGACAGTACTTGGTCCTTCCAAGAGGGTAGGGGACTGGACTCGATGACCTCTCAAGGTCCCTTCCAGTTCTAGTGTTCTATGATTCTAAGTACTTGCAGAGAATATTAGGAGTTAGCTATGAAGAAAGAAAAAGGAATTATGAGGTCAGAAAAATGGCTAACGTGAGGTCTCTACCACAAATAATTTGTAAGAGAAGACATCAATGCTAGGGCATGTGTTACAAATGGATTATAACCGACCACTGATCGTGGCTCTCAGTTGGAAGCCAGAGAATCCAATAAGAAAGAAGGGTAGATCTAGGATGACTTAGAAATGTAAGATTATCAATGAAATAGTAAAAAAAATAATTTGAACTGTGAGGACTGAGGTCACATGGCATCTAAGCAAGCAAGCATGGAAAATCTGTGTAGCCCAATGTGCAGAAAAGCATGACTAACCTCTAAGGTCTACTCTAACATCTTTTTAAGTCCAGCCATTCTGAGGCTACTGTAGCATCCATTAGTTAAAATACTGTTCTTAATGTCCCAGTTGACTATGCACATTGCAGCAGCACAGGTGTTCTCTAGTGTTTATGGCCTTTCAACAACAAGTTGACCTTTCCTTTAAATATGTAAGCCAGCCTCAGAGCCAAGATCCATAACCTTTCAGAACCTGAGGAGGGCTTGGATCTTTTCTGCTGGATCAAGCTGGCTAGACAAAATGCATACATAAAAACCCTCACTAGTTCACAAACAGAGCCTGCCCAGATGAACTGAGACAATTCAGATTTTTCTGTCCTGTTTGTAAGACTATAAGAACATAAGAACAGTCATACTGGGTCAGACAAATGTCCATCTAGCCCAGTATCCTGTCTTTCAACAGTAACCAATACCTGATGCCCCAGAGAGAGTGAACAAACCAGTTAATCATCACGTGATCCCTCTCCTGTCATCCATTTCCAGCCTCTAACAAACAGAAGCTAGGGGCACAATTCCAACCCATCCTGGCTAATAGCTATTGACGGACCTAACCTCCATGCATTTATCTAGTTCTTTTTTGAACCTGGTTAAATTCCTGGTCTTCACAACATCCTCTGACAAGGAATTCTACAGGTTGATTGTTCACTGTGTGAAGAAAAACTTCTTTTTGTTTTAAACCTTTCATTTTGGGACCCCTAGTTCTTATGTTATAGGAACAAGTAAATAACTTTTCCTTATTCGCTTTCTCCATACCTGTCATGATTTTAGAGTCATCTACCATATTTCTCCTCCATCCTCCCAGTTTCCTCTTTTCTAAGCTGAAAAGTCCCAGATCTTTTAATCTCTCTTCATATTGGACCTGTTCCAAACCCCTGATTATTT